CAGTAAAACCCCGCGTATAAGAACCTAGATTTTACGAACATGTTAGGCTAAAATTGCTTATTTAGAATATTATTTAATATTTCCATGATTTAGACCCTCTTTATACAAGAACTTGTTTAGGATAAAATTCCAAACAGGTTCTTATTTTATTTTTATGACTGTAAGAGTTGAAACTAAAAATTTATAAATCAAAGAAAATAAGCTCTCAAAAGTAATGAAAATGACCCAGAAGTCAGAGTCCTGGATATGTCATAACAATAAACAGCATGTCTGTTTCAACACATCAACAAAAAATAACTCTACCTACACCAACCGAAAATGAGTCGCTTTTTCTTTAGAAAACAAGAACCTATTTAAGAACCTGTTTAGCCTAATTTCACGATAATCAGTGTTAAGTAACGAAGTAAATGTACTTCGTTACTGTACTTGAGTACTATTTTCGAGAAGTCAGCATGTAACGTTTTCTTGGGTACTTTTACTTGGAACGAAGTGGTTTTAAGAAGCAACGTTTTACTTCGTTATTTTCATTTTGTGGCGAAGTATTTCGTTACTTTCTAACGTTTGTTTAATTTTACGTGATTTATTCCCAATTTATTTTAATTTTGGGATAGGTAATAGGACCTCTACATGCGTCTGGGATCTCTCGTTTGTGCCTTACTTCATAAGCATTATTTATTTAATGGATTTCTTATATCTTCAACGGGGTCTGTAAAGTAGACCATGCCGTGAAATATTGTACATTACTCATTAGATGCACGCATATAATGCGTGTGTTCTTTTTCAATATCTTTCAGCCAATCCATTACGGGGGAAGAACCCACACCCCTCTACGCTATGAACAATAGTATTTTTACTTTTAACTTGAAGTACTTTTTAAGGATACGTTGTACTTTTTACTTAAGTACGTTTTGCGTCCAGTACTTTTTACTCTTACTCAAGTCGTTTTACTGTTAATTACTTATACTTTTATTCGAGTACAAATTCAAAGTGATTTAGGCACCACTGACGCTAATTCACCATTAAAATTTTATATAAGAACCTGTTTAGGCTAACTTGAAAAATCTAGGTTCTTATACGCGGGGTTTTACTGTATGGAATTTATATTCCCATCTTGCTACCGCGCCATAGTAGAAAAACTATTGCACGCTCAGCCGTGTACTATTCAACGGTAGGGTATAATCAAATTCAATCATTCAAAATCCTATTCGATCGTAATCGTAGTTCATTTAAAACTATAATTTTCATCCTGAGACCGATGGAATTAAATTCAAGTACATAACTCGTGCGAAGCAAAATGGCGGGTGTAAAAAGACAATATTTGTATGAGAATGTTTATGATAAGTCATTATTTCTTAATTAATTCTTCACTAAAATGTTTGTTGGCACTTTTTGGCTGAATTCTAATTATTTTTAAACCAGGAATGTGTTTTTTTTTGTATTATACATTTACTTAAAAATTCGATAAAAGTGATCTGCTTTTATTAATTTGGTGTCATATAAAACAAATAATGTTTTCTTTCGTGCAATAGTAAAAGTATTTTCATTCATTAATTAGCCATTCCGAAGTTGATGAGTGGACTAGAGAGGAGTGTTAAAAAGTGCCTAAAATAAGAAATTAACCAAATCACTAAAAAGACCACCTCAAACTTAGTAAGTAGGCCTATACAAAGTTTGAAGACGTTTACATGAATACCCTTCGAACAATAAGCTTTCGAAAATTGTGAAATTACTGATTAATTAAAAGATTATTTTTGGGACGTGCGTTCACAAAAACAAAAATTACAGTACATTTCATAGTAAATATCGCAATTTTCGAAAGCTTATTATTGGAAGAGTATTCATGTAAATATCTTTAAACTTTGTATACTTACTAATTTTGAGATGGTCTTTTTAGTGATTTGGTTCATTTCTTAATTTCGGCACTTTTTAACACTCGTCCCCAGTACACTCATCAACTTCAGAATAGCTAATAGATGGAATTTTCCATTCCACTCCGCTGTCGCCTCGTGGAATTCAATATTCTACTGTATCTTTCACCTCTTGAAAATATTTTTACCATTACACTCATAAACGTTCATTGTTGGTATAATGTAATACACGCTTGAATCACAATGTGTTAACAGGTCACTGTCGTTCCAATTGAAGTGTTGCTCAAATATTGATTCAATACATGACCTCGGGCTGACCAAATCATTTCATCAAGTTCCTCGAGATATTCATACACTTCCTAGTATAATTGTAAACTTCCTGTTGAATAGGTTGAATGCACCAATCACCTTTGTTGTTTGTGCAACTAACCAATCATAAATAGACAGGAAGTGACCAGAAATTATCAAATACTTGGAATTGGCTCTTTCACAGCAAGTGTATGAATATCTCGAGGAACTTGATCAAATGAATTGGTCAGCCCGAGGTAATGTATTGAATCAATATTTGAGCAACACTTCAATTGGAATGACAGTAAGACAGGAGTACAATAAGCATTTTTTTCTTTTGCCTGATACTATAATTGATTTCATTGATACAGGTTATAGGCTCTAATACTCACCAAATGCAACTTCAACTCCACTCGTACCACTAGGAACAACAATACTTCCCATCTGCTCCCATGTATTTTTCCTATATTTATAGATTGTCTCATTTGAAACAACCAGAACATATAAGTAAACTTCGTCTTGAGCTATTTCGATTCTCTCAGTATACGTAATATTCAAGTCTATTGTTACACCAGCATACGAGGTACTCTTGACTTTAAACGTAGAACCACCAATGACGTTCACCCAGTAAACTACACCATTATCAGCATCAACAGAAACATCCTGAGGAAAGTCACCTCCTGCTTTTATTGCATCCACCACTTCAGTCTCAACATTGTAACGCTCTATGTTGCTACCACTATCCGTCCTGACAATAACCAGGTAACTAGAGGAGAAAATATACAACATACGTGAACGGAAATCGAACTGGTTGACTAATCGTTACCATTCGTTTCTGTTTCTTAAGATAAAACTTTGATGCAATGTCTTAAATATAGGGCACAAAATAGTGCTACAAGTATTATACATGGTGACATATGGTATAGATAGCTGATGATGAATATAGACAAAATGTGGCAAATTTTTATCACATTAAGACCGCAATAATATTGAAGGAACTAGACTGAGTTGCGAAATATCAGGCACCCGAACCGACTTGGTCTCGTTGGAGTCGTTACTTAAGGTGGCTCCCTACAGTTATTCTTGTTTACCCAATAATTCCGTAAAACAGGCTTATTTGTGCAGAACGCGGATTCGTTTCGACTTGGTGACAATAGTGGTCACCTAAGGAATATTTCGAACTAGATTTCGACAACGTCAGTGTTACCATGGCAACATGACGACAGCACAAAACCTTCCAATTTAACCCATAAATGTGCCGCTATCTCAAAAACGATGTCGGTGACCTATCTTTTTTATTTCATATATCAATAGGGAATGATGTTCTGCAATTGTGGTGAAAGTTTAAAAAAATTCTGTAGTGTGTGATTTTTTTAAAAGCGAAAATTTTATTGCGATATTTCCACACTACAGATTTTTTTAAAAATTGAAATTTATATAATTTACCGCAAAATAAATTCGTGGTCAAAATTTGAAGATAGGTCACCGATGAAACTAATGAGTAAAATGCAAATAAAGTTAGAAAATAGCCTCGTGTAACTCGAGAAATTCCCCTATTGAAAAGCGTCGCTGACTAGTAAAAGATTGTACGCGGGCGCAGAACGAGTTTTCATTCAGCAAAATCGAGCGGCAATGTTGTTTTTACTGTTTTGTTTTTGTCAACTTTTCGATTTATTTGAGTGCCATGGACAGCCAAGGATTAATGTGAAGGATCAAATCGATGAAAACAAGGTTGAAGCTAATTAAACCCTGCCGTTTACTCAATCTATGAGCTGTAACAGCCTATTAACAGGTGGACGTGTTTTTTTGTTTCATGTTTGGTTTTGTACTTTTTGCTAAAAATGAACAATTAGGCTATGAAACTGAAATATTTTTCTGTTTACATATAATCACTTTAATCTTGTAGAAACACGACTAAAAACGTGAACGTTTTCTTGAGAAGTAAATAACTTTTTAAACGTTTGTATTCAATTTTGCAAATGTTTTACAGTTGACAGTGTATATTTAAAAAAAAATTAAAAACATTGTTTCGTAGCTATTTTTTGGTCTAGTGATATTCGTATCATATGTAGAATTGCTGTATAGACTCGCAAGTGATTTGGTACTCAAAACGAAGTATTATTCAACGCTTTTTTCCATTAGAAACCTTTTAGAAATAGCTTTATTTTTAAAAAAAGCGTGGTCAATTTTTGTTTTGTTTTGATCATGCAGTTGCGTGGGATAGTTCACGTACTGGTCCCGCGAACATCCCGCACGCAACTGTAGGGAGCCTCCTTAAGCAAGGCATTTGATCTTATTCCACACAATCATTTGCTGACAAAACTATCAGCATATGGAACATGAAAAATTTGCAAAGTTATCATCATGATAGATCTCAGTGAGTGAAAAGAGAGGATATTACGTCTGACAGGGTCTCCGTGACTAGAGATGTACCTCAAGGTTCAGTTTTGGATCCCCTGCTATATTTAATGTCTTTCTGAACGACCTTTTCTATTTCATGAAAGTGGCCAAGCTGTCCAGTTATGCCGACGATAAACAGTCAGTACTCTACTAATGATCTAAATCCCGCTGCCGTAGAAGAAACTATCAAACAAGAATTTAAAATTG